AAGGCAAAATTACATAGACCTGTGTGAAAAAGCGTTTGTCCATTAATACAGGGTGTTGTTCGCTGAGTCTTTTAAAAGTAAAGTTGATAAAATAATTTAGAGAAATTAAAGGCCCTTAAAGTCTTAAATGCATTTTTTTTACATGTCTTATAGGGGTGTAACAACATATAGTGGTACAATTTATTGCAATACAAAAATGTCACAATATGCATTGTGGCGTTATGACAATTTTATTGCGATATGTCATCTGTTGAGCTACATTTCACCTGCTGTCACATGCATTCAGATTGCTTAAACTAGCAGCAGAAGCAGGCCAATATGAGTGCAGCTGAAAAAGAGAATGTCTCGTCATCTTATAAGGCCAACATCTGACAACATTTTGGTTTTCCAGACAAAAAGACAAAACACAAACTGTGCGTAAACACTGTAAAAAAAATGCCACCCTACAAAGCTGCGAACACAACAAATATGATGTGATATTGAAGCCGTTACCACAGCGCCAAAGTGCAATCGAGTGTCTCACTTAAGTGGCAAAGCTGAATAACGAGATGCATAGGAGTATTTATGGCAAAAGACATGATACCATTTTCTGTGGTCGACAAAGTTGGATTTTGGAAATTGAATATAATTAAAATATTGTGATGCATATTCTATCATGAACATGATATTGTGATATACATCATATCGTGAGCTGAGTGTATTGTTACACCCCTATTGTCTTACAATTTTTGATTATACAACATAGCTAAAGTTTGGCTTAACGTAATCTGTAAACATTGGGGTGTTCTGTAGTTTCTAAAATATTCCACTTTGCTTACAGCAGTAACCAACTACTTTTTGTTTTTAGTTAGTCACATACTCATTTTATTTTGATTAATATATAATTATTTTTTCTATTTTCTAAAATTCTAACTTTTTAAATATGGAATCAGCCTATTTACTAGTTAAAATGTGAGTCTAAAGTTTTCATTCATTTGAAGGTCTGAGAATTTGCATAGTTTTATTTCTTTTAAACTGGTCTAATATTGTTTTGCATTTCTCTTATAAACCTATCATGGGGTAGTCGGGTAAATAAATTGTCTTGTTTTTCATTTTCATCCTTCTGAATTATATTGCATTGATAAGGAGTCTTTATTTTTATTTGCTAAGACTCTATTTGTTACTTACAATCAATCTTACAATCAATGTATTGTGAGTTAAAATGTCGTCAGTGCTACTGGGTGAAATCTAAAGTCACAATAAGGTCTTAAAATGTATGAAATGATCATAAAAAAGGGGTCTTAAAAGGTATTGAATTTCACACTCTGATTTCTGTATATACTCTGTAATAACTGGTCAGGTCACTCTTAGCAGCAACAACTGGAATTAAGCCTTTACGGTAACTTGCTTTGAGTCACTTACAGTGCTGTGGAGAAATGTTAGATCACTCCTCTTTGCAGGATTGTTCGAATTCAGCCACATTAGAGGCATGAACCACCTTTTTAATGTCATACCCCAGAATCTCAATTGGATTCAGGTCAGGGCTTTGACTAGGCCACTCCAAAGTCTTTATTTTGTTTTTCTTCAGCCCTTTAGAAGTGGACTTGCTTGTAATAGTCTTAATAACTAATTTCTGATTACTCATTTATTTTATCTTTGCCTTATGACAATACATCCTATTTTACTAGATATTTAAGCATAATTTGTGGACTATAATTTCCAGGGGGCTAATAATGTTGACTTTAGCAGTTTAAAAACAAAAAGATATGACATAATAGGAAATACCGCAAAAATTGTCCTTACTCCATTAAACATCACTTGAGAAAAACTGTGTATACATATACGTAGTATATGTGTATCTGCATAGTGGCATATATAAATATAAGAAGTTATGACTTGAATGATATTTAAAAAGTGTCATTCATCGTAAGATGATTATAGTGAATAATGGACAATAATTATAAAAAATATCATAAAAATAGCTAAATATTTTGGATATAAAAGATTTGAAAACCCTGAAACTCTTTTATTATTAAATATATTAACCAAAATTAAGCAGTTTATTGTAATAATGCTGTTCTATTATAATCAAAATAGTTTTAACCATAAAATTACTGATATTTGTTACTTGGTTGCATGCAACTCGAGTCTACAAGTGCACACAGTGCTTTCATTCATGTTTAATATGCATGTAAAGAATGACAATGAAAGCAAAATAAACCCATTGAGCACAGGACTCGCGGGTGCTTGTAATTGCAGCTCAGTTAAATTCACTACCGGAAAATAAGCAGAGCATTTTTGAGGTCTAATGAAGGCTCTGAACAATGACATCAGGCCACTAATGAGGCTGAAAATGAGTGTGGGCAGATCTGCTTTGATGCAAGACTGCCGACTCCGATAATGCTGGGTAATTGTGCCTTCTTGTGGTCAAATGTAAATGTTTATCTGCCATTTCCACTGATAGGATTTTCTCCATGGAGTAGACACTTCAGTGCTGATAATATAACCCGGTTACACTCTTTGGCCTTGGCTCTGTTCTGCAGACGGAAGATAAGAGCTGCAGATGGGTTTTCTGTAAGGAATAATGTTAATGTAGTAATATTAATCTTTATTTATTTACACACACAGTGATGCCATCAAACGAAATATCGAATGGATGAAATATCACACTCGTAAGCATTGTGCAGAGCCTGGCAGAATCTGCAGACATTTTGTTTTGTTATGTCTGCACAGAATTTTGTAAATAATTAGCTTATTTATGCAGAAGGATTTTGGGAGCCTATTAATGAAAAACTCCAGACATTAAATAAAAAATAATAAATTTTTAACTTTTTATTTAAGGCTTCTAATGCAGTGGTAAACAAAGCAAATCTCGCAAATAGTGTATCTACTGACAATGAATGAACATGTTACTTTACAGACTGTGTTGTAAATAAATCATCCAAACCAGGGGTGCTCAGTCCTGTTCCTGGAGATCTACCTTCCTGCAGATTTCAGTTGCTACCCATATCAAACACACCTGAACCAATTAATTAGGACCTGAACACCACTTGATAATTACAGGCAGGTGTGTTTGATATGGGTAGCAACTGAAATCTGCAGGAAGGTAGATCTCCAGGAACAGGATTGAGCACCCCTGATCTAAACATTTGCATATTAGTTGAGAATTTTATTATATTTGAATATCTCGGGCAATTTAACACTAAAGGTTGCTTGTTTGGTGTCCCCTTCACTATACTGGGGCATTAGGACTCACGCAGACCACAGGTTGGGCGCCCCCTGCTGGCCTTACTAGGACCACTGCCAATAGCAGCCTAGTTTTCCCATGTGGTCTCCCATCCAGGTACTGAGTAACCGCTCTTGGGCTGCAGGGTGATACGGCTGTGGCATTATATACTATATCAGGGGGATACGGCTGTGGCATTATATACTATATCAGGGGGATACGGCTGTGGCATCATATACTATATCAGGGGGATACGGCTGTGGCATCATATACTATATCAGGGTGATACGGCTGTGGCATCATATACTATATCAGGGGGATACGGCTGTGGCATCATATACTATATCATGGGGATACGGCTGTGGCATCATATACTATATCAGGGGGATACGGCTGTGGCATCATATACTATATCAGGGTGATACGGCTGTGGCATCATATACTATATCAGGGGGATACGGCTGTGGCATCATATACTATATCAGGGGGATACGGCTGTGGCATCATATACTATATCAGGAGGATACAGCTGTGGCATCATATACTATATCAGGGGGATACGGCTGTGGCATCATATACTATATCAGGGGGATACGGCTGTGGCATCATATAATATATCAGGGGGATACGGCTGTGGCATCATATACTATATTTACTAAAAGAATGAAAGAAGTTATTACTCTACAAACTCCATTGTAAATGAAACATCTACACGATTGCATATTAGTTTATACTATTATTATATGTAAATATCTCAGAAGGCAGTTTAATACTAAAGGTTGTTTTCTGGCCTCTTGTAGCGTTTACATTGGGTTTGTGTGTATGTTTATTTTATTATAATCAATTTTTAACTTTTATTTAAGACTTATAATGCAATGGTAAACGAAGCAAATCTTTCACATAGTATATCTACTGAGAGAATAAAAGAAGATCTTTACAGACTGAATTGTAAATAAATCATACAAACATTTGCGTTTATTACACTGTAAAATGATACTGGTTTCCTTTAAATCTTCACACCGATTCAAATTAACCTTATGGGATGTTAAACTGACTTAAAACAGTTTGCATAAATTATAAAATTAAGTTAGAACATGATCAGCTTAGTTTGATGGGTTGCAATGAACTACAAACATATGTTGTCATGACTAATTGATGTAAATTTTTACAGTGTACTGAAATTAATGTAAACTAAATAAATATATATTTACACATTTTCATAAGTAAATAAACCGATTCAAGGATGGTCTAAAATTCTGCCGATTTCTGTGATCACAGTTTCCATGTGGGCCTATCAGTGTGCAAATATCTCAGATGTTAATTTAACACTAAAGGTTGCTTTCTGGCCTCTTGTAGCATTTAAATTAGGTTTGTGTGCATGTTTATTATATGATAATCAATTTTCGACTTATTTGGGTTTTCTAGTGCAGTGGTAAACAAAGCAAATCTCTAATATAGTATATCTATAGTATAGACAATATTACTCATACAGCTAATAAACTGTATTGTAAATAATCCTATAAACATTTGGATATTAGTTGATGATATTACTGAAATTAATATGAAACTAAATAAAGATATATTAACACATTTACACAAGTAAATCAACAGATTCAATGATGGGCTAAAAAGTCTGCAGATTCCATGTGGGCATAGCAATGTGTAAATATCTAGGAGTTTTAACACTAAAGGTTGTGTTCTGGCCTCTTGTAGTGTTTGCATTGGGATTGTGGGCTTGTTTATTTAATGATAAGGTCATGTTGCTGAGCTGCATTGTGTTCTTTGTGTTTCACAG